TTTATGTTGGACTTAGTTTAGATTACGTTAACATAGTAATCTGTATTAATTAGTGGATAGATAGTATTTCCGAGAAAAAATAATTGGCCGTCATTTCAAATGTAAATATTCATTTCAAATATAAGTACGCATTTAATGATGATGAAAATACATATTAATAACTACGTAATATTCTAATAACGGGGATCTTAAAATTTGCATGTACATTGCTTATATTCTTTATTAGAATAGATAAAAATATCAATTCCAGAAAACACCAATTTTCAATCAAGATTGGAATTCTATAAATGCAAGAGTTTCGATTGATGTAACTTTATTTTGAGAGAAAAAAACAATCAAAGGCAAAGGAATTTATAAATAGAAACGTTTAATATATTTATGGAATTGGCTTTTTTTATATTTATGTCAATTTTCTATGTGTATTAAATCATTAAAAGAATTTGACACATGAGAACGCACATAGAAACCTAATTGTATTGAAGATACCTATTTTCCGATTTTTTAAATACTAATACTTCTCACGGTAGTGTCATTCTATACTATTACCTACTTACTATCTAATACTCTTAATAGTATATTACTATATAAGAAATAATGTATGTTTTATCCAAAATTACTTAACTTATACTGAGTGAGTGCTTTATCAGCGATATGATAGCAATTAGAGTGAACAGAGCCATAATGCCTTAGTACTCAGGAATAGGAACTCACGAAGAGTATCATAGGCGACACAGTATTCTGAGGTATGACCATAGAACTGTTCGTGTCTATAGGTGAAAATTACCACTTTCCATCAGCATGTTTGCAATTCTAAGTTGCACAAAAAAAGCAAAACTGGATTATTGTCAAAGAAACATGGGTCGAACATTTTTCATCTTCTTGCTGCGACGTATTAGTTTGGGAGGCTTAGATTATATACATAGATAAAGTGCCTCTATACAAATGCTCCCCGAAAAACAGGTCAACTTTTTTATCCGTGTGTGTGTGTGTGAATAGGGATATCATAATGTACAGTTATTATTCAGTTTTTGGAAGAAATGTATATTGTAAGGTTAAGATGATAAATAAGTGCAATACAAATTTATTACCAATATATTTGTAATAACAGGGTAAAGAGGCATAATGAATACTAATGATGCTTGTTTTTATAGATTGCTCTGAGTTTTTTTATTTATCTGACTACAGGCATAAAATATATTTTTGTTTTAAAGTTTTGTTTAAACTTGCCGCCATTTTTATTAATACATGTTACTAATCTAATTACTAACAACACTGAAAATTTTGTATTAAATAAAAAAACATATGTGCATATTTAGTAAGCCAAACATCATATTAGTTTATTAAATTTTGACTTGTTTTTGCCACTTGATGCAGAATTTTTTTATATTATCCAACCCATATTTCTTTTTGGAAAACGTTTAGTCATACTGGTAGAAACATTTCTTTATAAGAATGGTAATAACTTCAATTTCATCCTGCAGTTATTTACCTGAAACATTGAGGAAAATTGTGAAATAATCAAAATGAAAGTACAATGATTTCAGAGAAATAGAAATTACTACATAATTTTGAAAAAGTCTACTGTAATATAATGTAATGTAAAAGGTATACTAATTTTAGAAAGGTCACTTGTTATTAAAAAAATAATATCTATTTAATATTTTCCAATAACCTTAAAAAGGAGAATATTCTCAATTTATTTCAAAATAAAAATAGTGTATGGAATTACTACTCAATGTTCATTTTGTTATAACACAAGTCGAAAAGTTCCTTCTTATTAAACAGAGAACAATAATATCTTAAATGCATTAATTATACATTTGAATTATTTCGTCACAGAATGCAGTTATTTTCTCTCTTGTGGAAAATACCAACTTGAACTGAACTTTTAAAAATAGACGTGCAAGGCGTATTAACAGCACACAAGATTTTGGCAAGTGGATGCAGTAAGAGATAATAAACAGTTCATTGACTTGACCTGCATTTAGTATACAACTGCAGCAAGTATTGACCTCAAATTACTAACATTTTACTTCATAATATTAACTAATAATAGACATCTAGTATATCTGACTATCCGTTTACTTAAGCAAGTTTTTTTTTATTCTGCTAGGAGCAACAAATAAATAGTATATAGTATGTACAATCTTAACATGTCTTTTGGAGTAATCTTATTCTGCCTCATTATTAATTACAACCATGTCATTCTAGCATTTAATGTTTAGACTTCTGATCTGTAAATTTCCCTTAAGTAAAATAATATAATAAATTATTTTATTTATTTACTTCATCAACTAGGTGAGATTTACAGTTTCCCAATATGCTCACCTAATATTTAATGTATTATGTAGTATATCATTATGTAAGTTTCACATAAACTTCCCGACATAGAATAGACCACTCCTTTTTTTTCAGTGGATATCGTAAGAGACAACTAAGGGAACTTAATGGTAGAGGGATGGGCAGCAGTGTCCCTCTTAAAACATCTCTAAAAGTCTAATTGCGGTTGTCAACCCTCCTGCCAAGCATGGCAACTAATTTCAAAAGTCCCTTTACAGGGAAAGCTTACGCTCAGCAGTGGACAATTAATGGTTGAAATGATATCATTATGTATTCATTGTACATTTGCATAGCTGTGTTTCGGTTTGAAGGGTGGGATATGGCGTGAATTTACTGGGTACAGAGGAATAACACCTGAGTCCTCAGGAATGGCAATGCATGGGGGTATCATGGGCGAAACAGTATACTCTATTATGTCCATGGTACTGCTCTTGTCTATAGGCGACGGTTACCACTTTCCATCAGGTGTGCCGTCAGCTTGTTTGCCATTCTAAGTTGTATAAAAAGAAAAAAACATATTTTTAAAATTGAATATTCCGTTTATATTCCTATCGTGTAATAATTTTGTAGGTATCAGGTATCTAAATATAATTAAATTAATTAATAATTCAATATAAATCTCGAGAATCGTTTTATTACAATAATTATGTTTTAGACGTATTGATGTCTACTGTCCAATTGCGGTTTTGATTATTCATATACCTATTTGTAGATTGTAAGTTTGTTTAATTATTTAACATGTTTACATAAATGGCGTCATTCCTTTGTTTTGAATAACAAGGCAGTTGCGGTTGAATGACACATTTGAATTAGAACAAGTACTCGTATATACATTGCTTGGCAAAGAAGCAACTTCAGTCATGAACGTACCAAGAAAGTACGCTATGTTTCGTAGATAAGTTTTTGTCCGCTACTTTGTACACAAGGATTTCAGACATAGAAAAACTAATTAAATAGACCACTTTTAAATAAATATATACCAGATTTTAAGTTTGATTTTCAGAAACAAAACTCTGATAACCGCATTAAATTTGGTGCAGTAGTTTTCGCATGATGTCGGAACAAACATTCAAATGCACAGACAGACAAAATTACTAAAATTTATTGTTTAGGCTTCCATTATCATTATTAAAATCTCTTATATTAATTTCTTTAATATTTTCCATGTACAGACACTGCCTAGTGGGAAATTTTTATATTAGTAAGATATTTAAATTTAAAACGTAGATTCACATATAAATAAATTATATTCTACAAGGAAAATCGAATCTTCGATTTTCCTTGAATTTTCCTCGAAAACGTCAGAACAATTACAAGAAGACCAACATGTAAGTAAACTCTATTGATTGGAAAAACAAATATAAAATTGGTTCATAATTGGCGACATAATTGCGTAACATTATAGCAAAAAATTAAAATTTCCTTTTGGAAGATGTTTAAAAATTTGGTCAAACATATCGCTACAAGTAATAACCACTCAAAGAAATTCGCTTCTCCCTCTATAAAAAAAGTTGGATGTGTGTTAAGTACATTATATTTTTCTCCCTAATAGCCTTTGTTCCCTAATAACAAACTCGCGTATACAATGTACTTAACGTTTAGACATCCTACTTTGATAATAAGGACAAGTATATTTTACATTTTTTGTAAACATGTTTTCCGTTCCATTACACAAATTAATACAAATATCAGTATAAATTTAGCTATTAATAAATACTTTCTTAAAAGAGTTAGAATAATCGTACAACATTATTAATATAATAAGTGTAAAATTAAATTTGTTTGTTACCTCTTAGCAAATTAACGTCTCAAACAATCGTATACATATACTATGAGTATTTAGGACGAAGAAGAAAGCTAGTTATATATATAAGAAGAGAAAGAGAGATAGAGTGATATAGACTGATATCAGTAAGACGTTTACTTTAAATATTCCAGTGATCGTTCAGAAAGCACGTATTTCATTTGTAGTTCATATCAAATGTTGCAATTCCACTAAGACGTCAGACTTTGAAGCAAATATTGCTTATCACTGACTTCCAATAGTTCCATACTTCTATGTTTATTTCGCACAAATGTTATATTATACAGACACCAAAGAATTTATTGAAAATTATTTCAAATTTAACGTAATTCTTAACATCTAAAACTTGGAAAGGCGAACAAGCTGACCGCCCACTAAATGAAAAGTGGTAACTGTCGCTCATAGTACCAGTTGATCGTAGATTTCACAGTTACGTTCTTCAAACTGACTCATCCAATCAATCCAAAGCTGCTTCACGGCAGAAACATGAACGGATGGGGCAATAGTATCCCTATACAAATTTTGTACAAAGCCTCCCGTGTTGCACAAATTTTGTACAAAGTCTCTCGCTTGTAAATGATCAGCTAATTTAAAATAACATAGTTCTGAAAACTACATTCCAAAATACATCTACATCTACAGGACCACAGACATAATTTTAAAATATGGTTCGATAAATTTTACAGTTCTTTGATATTTAACCACTTAGTTTTAGTAAAGTAAACAAAATGTATCCCAACTATATGATTAATATGTGGATAGTTCATCAACCACATTACTGAAAGTTTTCCGCTAACTACGGCATGTTCTACATTGCGCATATGCGCCGTACTCGGCTGCAAGGTTGAGTTCGTGCCACCAGCAGTTCGTCTTCAGTTACGTAGTCGACACCGCGCGCGCTGTGTCTCCGTGGTGTATATCGCGCACGAGCCGGCGCGGTGCGATCTATTAAACTTTAAATAACAAACTTATTTTGACAGCACTACCCTGACTTTCTGTTCTGGTTTCTGTAAAATATGAGGTGTTTACTTTGTATTAAGTTTTGTGGTTGGTGCGATAACTTTGACTATAGGCCTGCGTTCGCGTGATGTAACCAGTTTGCTCCATTTACTAATGCGATTGTTTTCCAGTGTAACAGAGTTGTGTACTACATTCGCCAGCTGGCTTAGGTGTTAACATGTTAAGTGTATATATACTATGTAACACAGATTTCAATGCATCTGTTGTTACAACCATGACAATGTTAAAATACTTACGAGTAATTTGAATTTATTCAAAATAAAACGAGATAAATTTAAAGGACTTCATACTGTCGATGTAATGACAAGAACTCATGTTATTAACTATTTACCTACGAGCTTATAAAAAAACAAATAATTTGTAATGTAAATGTTTTCATGGTATTAAATAAAAAAATAAAAATGAATTTTAAAATAGAAACAAAACTGGCATGCACTGATGCATAAAATATATTCAGTGAGTATTTTAAAAAAGAACTAAAAGTATAACGAACGCGACACAAAATCGTATAGTGTGCGATGGTGGCGCGATGCTGTGCCTCGAGTCATTGATGGCGCGGTGGCGCGAGCGCGGCGAGCGAGCCGACCGAGAGGGCGAGCGTCGCGCGCGATCTCGTAGCCTTTGTTCATCAGCAGCTGATGGAAGCTTATTGCAACTACTACATAGAAGAGCTAGCAGTGCCATGTAAGTCATTATTGCCCATTAAACATATTATCAACATGTCTACTGCTATAAACTATGTTTTCTTAGTGGTTTTTCATGACATTGACAACGCATGGGGGTATCATGGGCGAAACAGTATACTCTGTTATGTTCATGGTACTGCTCATGTCTATAGGCGACCGTTACCACTTTCCATCAGGTGGGCCGTCAGCTTGTTTGCTATTCTAAGTTGTATAAAAAAAAAACATTCCTTACTTGAAAAAGAGTAAAGATAACTTGTGTCACATTGTTATGTTAAAAATAAAAGTGTCGTGGCCATTACGGGCACGACTTTAGTATACCAATTCAAAAACAAGAAGCGATCGTGACTTCAAATCTAACATAAAATGTTGTATGTTAATTTAAATTTCCAATCAACTATCAAGTAATGAAAAAAACTGTTAGTAAATGTGGGCGGTTGGGAATTTATTTATTTTTATTTATTTATTTATTTAGACGTAAACATATTTATTTTTTAAAATTTTATGTTAATCTTCATTCGAGAATTGATTTGCAGCAGTATTAAGCGATATGCTGCTAAATTCTAAATTAGATACATAATAAGAAATAGTTAAAAATACTGAAAGGTGTCTAGACCGATTAAATACCAAAATTGTAATTGGAATCATATATTTAATGAATAAAAAAAAATTGAAATTATTAAATTACATTATTTAAAAAAAAGATATCTTGATTAATTGAATAACCAACCTTTATCTGAGCCAGATGCCCGACGATGAAGATTATCGCGTCTTTGATAGTTTTTACACGTGCGGCAATGTTAGCCAGTAACCGGATAATGTGAAAAGCAATTTCACAACCGGGTATTCGACGCCGGTGTTTTGAACTTAATTATTGAAATAAGAAAAATAAAATATTTGATTATCAAATTTTCCTTTACTTTTAATTTTTCTTCTGATTCATTTCATTAATTTTTCTTTTGATATTTCTTCACAGAAATTGGGTTTTATAAGTAATACTATTTATAAAGATCAAATTCAGTGAATATTTCTCTGTATATACAGAATTATATCAACATTATTAAGATTGGTTAACATGGAAACCTTTTGTAATGAATCGAATCGTACATTTTTAATCGAAGTCAGATCGTTTACGTAAAGGGATACACTTCACAATCCTTACCTATTTCCTCTGGTGTGCCTCAAAGCGTTTTTACAGAGCCTTTGTTTCTCTCTTTGTATGAGATGAAGAAAAAAAAATTAAACAACAATTAAAATAACTGTGTTTAATCTAAATGCGTCTAAATGCTGATAAATGTTGTATTATTAGTGCGTAATACTTGAGACGATTGAACAATTCATCTCTTACTGAAAGGAAAAGCATCAGAAATCTTAGTGTCATTATATATTTTAAATTAACTTTTATGTGCATATTAATTATATCGTCATTCTGCATTAATGATTTATTTTTAAAATTGGTAGACTTCTAAACGTAAAAAAGATACTTTAAAGCTTTTATATAGCGCACTTGTCTAAATTTGGATCTTTTCCTTTTTATTAAATGTATATTAATAGATTTAAAAAAGTATGGAATAAATTACAAAAATCATAGAATTATCGTAGTGGTCAGATCATATTGTGTTATTATGATGCTTTGTGCAGATGTAAGCTATGTTTGATGTGGTGTGACTATAAAAAATATTGATTAATCTAATGGACTCGCAAACATTTCTAAATGTAATTAAGATTGTGTTCCATAAAAATACCGGAACTATTGAATCGATTTTGATAAAATTTCTATGTGGGACCAATCTGTAAGTATATCCTTTTAATTTAAAAAGAGAATTTTCGACATCCGTTTACAACTGGCAGAGTTGAGGTGACAAACATAAAAAAAGAAAAAAAAATACAACCGAACTGAGAACCTTCTTATTTTTAAAGTCGATTGAAGATAAGGTGTACTACACGTTTTCTTCTTAGCGCACGACTGGCTCTATTTGTTCTTCCTCGTTTGCGTAAGAACTATACGTGTAAATTCTTCATTGCCATTCCACCAACACTTTCAATAATAAGTTCAATGAATTAGATGTCTTATATATAACTAAATATAAAAAAATATATTAATTTTTTTAGGGTTCCATACCTCCAAAGAATAGAACCTGTGATGTTTGTGGTTACATCACTAATATATGACAATTGTAAAATGTGTACCTACCTCTCAACCAGTATTTGTCAGTTTGTTGCCGGCATTAATACGTATAGCTTATTAACTGTATATATTTAAAACTATATCCCTAAACAGTATAGAATCACTTATAGGATCACTTCGTTGTCCGTCCGTCCGTCCGCCTGTTCATCTGTCAAGACAGTTTTTTCTTAGGAACGCGTGGAGATATTGAGTTGAAATTAATATCATATATTGAGATCTGCAATCTCTTAAAGCACTTTTTAAAAAGAGTGAAGCTTCTAAATGGACGCAATCAAAAGATACGAGCGTTTATGTTCCATTTATATTGCTTATTTTGACATTCGCAAAGGGAATCAAAACCGATGGGGTACTTCCCGTTGACCTAGAATCATGAAATTTAGAAATAATCAATGTCATGTAGCACAGTAAAGGGGGAAATTATAAAACTGAAAATTTGTAGTTATTTCACAAAAAAAATTAAACTTGATGATTTTATACGAAACCCTCGTTGCGCGAAACCGAATCACACTTAACCGGCTTTTATTTACTTAGTAACACACTGTATAAACGTGAGATTTTCAGCTAGGCGACCTCTGTCCAACTTCGGTGAACCTTTTAACTATGCTTTCAAATTCAAGCCCCCAGAAAAGTCAATGTCCGCGAAATGTAGAAGGAAGTATTTTATAAAATGTTTCCTGGGGATATCCACTTTTCCAAAGACTCGAGACCAAAAAAGTTCGGCGAAATGAAATAAAAATCACACTCGTTGAAAATCACACAAGCATGTAAGGCTCCATTTTTTGTTGTTATTCAACAAATTATTATTATTCCAAGAATTAATATATTATATTTAGTATTATTTGTATGACCTATATTCACAATTATTTATAACAACCGGACATGATTAAATCCCAAAAAAAGCCAAGTAATAAATAAAAAAAAAATTGATAATATAACGCCGTTATATTTATTAAATAGGTACTCTTATTGTGAAGCCTTTAACACTTTCGCAATTAAGTACAATTCAAGGATACCATATTTATTAACCGACTTAAAAAAAGAAATAGTTGTTTTTTTTATATTTGCTACCCCATAACTCTGCCATTTATAAACCGATTTGGAAAATGCTTTTTTTACCTGAAGAGATATATAACTTACAGATTGGTATTATAAAAATTTTATTAAAAGTTCAGTAGTTTTTAAATAAATATAACTGGGATTGCAATGGCGGTTGTTTTTTGTAGTACACAATGTTAAATTATTAAAATCCATCAAATCGTTAAGGTGCAAATTATGCTAAACATCTGGTTTTGTACCTACTTCAAATATACCCGAAAAATATAACACTCATATAGATATTGGGATATGCCAGTGAATTTACAAGGCACAGAAGAATAACACCTGAGTCCTCAAGAATGGCAACGTATAGGGAGTATCATGGGCGAAACAGTATACTCTGTTATGTTCATGGTACTGCTCATGTCTATAGGCGACGGTTACGACTTCCCATCAGGTGGGCCGTCAGCTTGTTTGTCATTCGAAGTTGCATAAAAAAATCCTTTTCTCAACAGGTAAAAGTCATGACCTTGTCGATTTTGATTAGCTATATCTTTATAATAGATTTCTAACAATGTAGGCAGACCACAGACATATTTCCATCTAATTTATAAATTCTAATGACTGTTATTTCTAAGTATTTTATTTTGTCACGCGCCGTCTTTCTATTTCAGTATTTTTTTTTTTCACGGGTGTCCTATTTGTTCTTGTTTATTTAATGTGTAGTTTTTGGTAAAAATATAATAAGTTATGTCAATAAATGTATTAATTATTCATCTGTACTAGTAATTATATGTAATAATAAAGTAAAATATCCTTGTGAAGCAGACCGACCCGTGCATTTGTGTCCTTAAACGGTTTAGTCGTTTCATGGTCGTTTCTGTGTTTACTCATCACCTACCCATTTAATTCGGCAGACAATTAATTTATCCTTCCTTTCATCTTCTCCCTTTGAACCCATCTCGTTTTAAAACATAATATACATATGTCTTTGCCTATTATACATCACTGATAAACAATACAAATGAACGGTTAGTTTGTAATATGTGTTGTAGTATAAAGATAAAAAACAAATTTCTAAAACGAACTAATCAATTTATATTATTGCAAATAAAAAAATGAGTCTCATACACGTGTGCTTTAAAGAATAACACCTTTATCTATAAAACCATCAAACCTCAAATAAATCTATTTTAGTTATTGAACTGTACGTAACGTTACTTTCTCTTGTGTTAAATTCTAAGTTTAAATGAAAGTGAGAAAATAGTGTAATAATTAAAATAGATTTATAAGAGGTATAATTTTTATAAATAAGGGGGTTAAATAGATAACAAATTTAGAAAGTAATTTTACGGATCTAACTAAAGTCAGTCAGTGTCAATTATTATTTATTAGTAGTAACTATGTTTATATTGTCATTTGCTACTATAAGTAGATATTAAATGATACATATTGTAATGTATACATATTGATTGAATTGAAATCCCGACATTTTTTTTAAATCACATCATCCTAATATACTGTAATATGTAGAATGATAATTTCTCCACATTAATAATAAATTATCTTCCTCAAATACCTAAATTTTAGTTTACAACCTAGATTGCTATCTAGTAGATTAAATCTAGATTTTTAGCGTATCTTTAGTATAATCAAATAGTTTCAAAGCTTTAGTTATAGTCAGACGAACGAGACCATCTACCTAGCTTTATAATATTTAGATTTTCAAGAATAAAATCAACTTTTAGTTCGGCTTGAGGATTCACTGCTAAAATACA